CCCCGCCGCGTCAAAACGGGCAATCGGCACGCTGCAAACGCATTTTTAGCGCGCCGCGTGTTGGGCGGCTGTTGGGGATGCTCTAACTGATGCAATAATTTTGATGCTTAAAAAAATATGTCCTGCAAGTTTTTCGGCAGAGGGATTTGTATCTTATTTTCCTAGCTTTGAACAACTTCGTGGAGGAGAGAAAATGTTGTTTTTAATGGAATATCAAGATTTTTTTATAGTTGCTTCAGATGGTCTTGACAACATTTTCTTATGTGCCTAGGTGGTCCGACTGCTACTACCGAAGAGCTATTGTGGTGATATGAATGCCCGGAGAACATGAAAAAGTAGCCGTGAACAAGAAGGTACCCACGAGATAAGAGAAAAAGGCTACACTAATAACGGCAATTTAACCAGAAGACAACAGTCCGAAAATTCATATTGTTTAGATTGAGTTTGCTACATTTCCAACACATAGTATCCGGTCAACAACTGCAGAAAACGACAGAGCACAGAATGCTGTCAAGGCGTATAAATTGCACATCGACAGAAAAAACAAGGCTCAGACCTTCAGATGATGACAAGCAACAGTTTACACAGAGTAAAGACCGGATGTTGTCTTTGGTGGTGGTTAGAGTGCTGCTATTGCGGGTGACTGATCACCGTGGCAAGGTCTCTCTTTTTTCCTTCCTTTTTTCTCCTTTAATTCTCTTCTTTGGATGTGTGCATCCTAGATGTTCTTAGGCATCTTATTGGTGCAGAGACGGGGTGTAATTGGTATCTACTTGATATTAATATAATCCTTTTTCTTTGAAAAAAATGCATTTCTCCATGTCTTGGGCTTGAGAAGAGAAGACTAGGCGATCTATTCACAAACAATGCCATCAGAAAACTTGTAAGTATCAATGTAGCATTCAAGTTTACACTGGAAAAGCATGCACTGGAGGAACAGACAGTTGTGGTACTAGTTACGCAATTAGAATTATCTTTGATTATTTGGTGCGTGCTGTTACCATCATCTAACTACTTGGCTAAATATACCATCTGGCGTAGTACTAGTGACTGGTAACGTGATTGCTGTTACACCAAAAGAAAGAAAATCAAAGACCCTCTAGAGCAATGGATCCAGCTCAAGTGGATGATTGGATTTTCTGCCGAAATGTGACAAAGTAATATAGAAGGAAACCAACCAATGGTAGGCAGAGCATTCCTTTTGATCGAGCTGTTGCCGTTGATGCCCACCACTTGTGTCAAACAGAATATGATCAGCCATCCGCCAAGGTTGTTTGGATGTCAGTGGACGATTGCACAGTTTCAGATTAATTAGTCTGTGGTTTCAGAGGTAGACTGAGGTGTTCCGGCCTAAGGATTTTGGCGGCCTCGGTATCCCTCATCTTCATCTGCAGAGCAGAGCAGAGCTCTTGGGCTTCGTTGGATGTGGCACATGTAGCCAGCTACCAAGGGGAACATGTCTTCCTTCCACACCTAAATGCTGACCGTGCCAACCTAAAATCAACGGGAACATACACTTGAGAAGTTCTGTCATCTTCTCACAGCCTGTAATGCTGACCGTGCCAAACCAAAAATCAGAGTGGACAGACACATGATCATCTGCAATTCTCTCTCTCTAGTTGCTCCCAAATTCCAAACTCTATCAGTGCAACCGATCGAACGTTTCCAAAAACATCACATGAAAAATTACTATTGGCTCAACCGTGCTCACATGAACAGACATAGAAATCAAGGAGTCGTGACGGATGTCATTTGTACTCAAGATGATGATCTAACAGATTCCATTCGCCTTCCAAATCCAGAACTCGTAGCAACCTCATCTTATCAGAAATATAAAAAGGCCTCCAATTTCCAAACACCGTCAACGGTCGTAAACGGGACAAGTCTACTATATTCTCAAATTCATACTGACCCCCCTTCCAATTGCTGCTTACAGCAACATGACGCATTGTGCCTTGGTTATTTAAGCTGCACCCTTCCTCCAACGTGAAAACAAGATTTTCCTCCCTAGACTTTGAGATGGCAATTTCGCGAATGAGATCATGGACACGACATGAGTCAATTCCTTTCCTACTGCAAATTGACCACTGAGATGGCGGAATCATGCTCCTACTTATGAGGTCCATGAAGTAGGAGTCCAATACTTCCTCCAGAGACTTGCCACACAACTCACTTGAGTAACTCTCTGCAATCCATCGGCGCACTAAGCGTTTCCGTGCAATGATGTAGTCTTCAGGAAAGATGGCCAGATACAAAAAACAAGACTTGAGGTGATACGGTAAACCATCATAGCTTTTCATAAGGACAACTTTTATAGCCTCAAGCTTAGGATTTATCTCCAACTCAGCATTGATATGCTCATTCAGTTTTCTCCATTCAAAAGCAGTTTTTGGTTGTTCTGCCAAGAAACCGCTTCTGGTGATTAGCGCAAGGGGAAGCCCTCCGCAGTTCCTCAAATCAGTTTTCCTTGTTCAACCAGATCTGGGTAATGCTCGTCCAAATTTATGGTCTTCTTAAATACCTGAAATCCATATAAATCTAATTACTTAGTCTGCCAACAAATTGTAATCATGCATAACACATTTTCTCCTTTCCACTATTTGCCCATGTGGGAGCTAGTTTGTATAGTATAATGTTGAGGTGAGACATTTGTTTTTTAAGTTATATAACAGGCTTCTCTGTCATCTATCTTGTTCATTGCTATATGACACGAGAGAGGATTTTCTAGCAGTGTCCTCCTAGCCAATCAAAGTATGCACATGTTGACATATCCCTATAGCATACGAAGTATTTGATTCATTTCTCTTATTATCTTTGTTTTTCCTTTTTTGCTGGGACCCATGCACTGTTTAGGGGCAGAACATCATTGTACTCAACATATTCTATTCTTCACCCACCATACATCCATCCATCCATACTTTTATTTTGATTCTAAATTTTGTACCACTTTTAACTTTTAAATCAATGATCTGATTTAGAATCTGTTTACAGATTAGTTTTCATGAAATTTATATCTTTCAAACAAGATAATTCTCAAACATATTTTGAAAAAGTTTAAATTCAAAATTTGAAACAAAATGAAACTTAATGACATCCAAAATGAAACATTAATGAAATCCAGAATGAACCAATAATGAAAACATGCATATGAAGTGCAATGAGACCATGATGAAAGTTAATTATATGAAACCAGAGATAAAACATTAATGAAATGTGGAATGAAACAGTAATGAAAACATGCAAAAGGGAATGTAACAAGAACCAATAATGAAAACATGTAAAATTGTGATGTCATGCATATGAAACCGTAATGTAGATATGTTAAAGGAATATTTTTAGATTGGAGCATTACAATGAAAGATAATTTAATGAAATGATATATATGAAAACTTATTTGAAAACTCAAAATAGAAATGGAACCTGAATGAAACAATTAACATGTGATAAATTAGTAAAACATAAATGAAACAAATCAAAAATGAAAAAATAGTTTCATTATAGTTTCTCATTTTGGGATTTTTTTTTAAATGTGTCCAAGGTTGATCTTATTTTGAAAATTTATAGCATGAACACCAAACAGAACACAAATCAGATCTTTGGTTCAAAAGATGTAACAATACAAGCTTGAAAATCAAATTAAAATGCATGGGGGAGAGGATTTTTAAAATTATTTTCTCACTCCAAACATACCCACTCACTTACCATGTGACCACCAAGCTAGGTGCCCACACGTCAGAGTGGGTGAAAGAAGGTAGATAGATAGAAGGAGACATATTGTATACATGTACAATACTACATGGTATAGCAATTCGCAGCTTAATACATACACAGATCCTAGAAAATGATGGAGGTGAGATTGTATCTGGTAGAAACCACGCCGCTAGAATTTCATTTCACTATATGGCATATCTTCAGTTTTACTCATATGAAGTCTGTCTCCCACCCTGCGACGAACCTAGAGTGCAGGTGCTACAGAAATAACAGTTTAAGTGTATGACTCTGGTAATCACCACACTAGTGATGATGTGCAATGACAATTAACCCAATGATAATGCTAGGCATTCAGAAAAAACCTGCAAAAACCATCCATGCATGTTAAGTTGGAAGCAGCTTGGCGTTCCGAGCTGAATCATATTGACACACGGAACACGGTTTTACATCCCAGAGATGTTCCAGGCTAGTGAAGCATGCTGCTCGAGGGGCAAGCTCTGGCAATGCAGAGGGGTTTAACTGAGCTTCTGTGGTGCCCCGAACCACACCGAGAGATGAAAATCGTTCCTGAAACTTAATTCACCATGCTCACAGGCTCACGGCGCATGCAACAACATTGCTATCAGCTAGACCCACATGGCACACTCCATGCCTGCCCGACATATGCTAGATATATCAGGTTTGCAGCTAACATCTGCCAGACATATCAGGTCTAGGTTTGCAGCTAACTTGATTAAGTCTGAGAGACAATACGTAACCTTCTTAGCTACTAGACCTTGAAGATCATCTCAGGTTTACGTCGCGTTGTGTGAAATAGACAAATACTTGACTCTGTCATTCAGGCGGCAGTGCGGCACACTATATCTATGCCACCCCTTGCTAATTCATTTTTAGTTGTTCAATACCTGAAGCATATGGTGATTACCTGCGGTAATCCATATACATAGTAACATTTGAGCAATGTGCACTTGTGCAGTATCGTTTCAACATCAGTCTTTAAGCACCAAAAGGCTAGCTAGCTAGCTGCATATGTACGTACTGATAATTAATTAATGCATAGCACAGAATCATGAGTGCGCCGACATGCAGGTTTGCTCTACCCGAAACAACACTCAAGGAGATGTATAATATACAGGTCACACAATGAGACTTCTGTAGGCGGTAATACAAGGAATTTGGCAGCTTACACATGCAGTTGGTGACACAAAATGAGCCTTTAATTTGTAAGCTGTAATAAAAGGGAGGGAGGTAATATATCAACGTTAGGATACAAGATAAAGGGGAGACAACTAGGAAACCCGGCTCCAACTCTTCAGAACAGGCTTGTTATCATTTTCTGCCAGCTGGCCTTGCAACTGCTCCACGAACTCGGTGTTCCTCCAGTTCGACTCCTCCAGCATAAATTCCTTGAGGCTTGGGAGATGTTGTAACCCAGAGAACAACCCAACACTAGGACTCATCCAACCATTATAATGCCGCAGCAACTCAAGCTTAGGGGCTGCTCCTTCTTCAAATCCAACCGACTTGAGGTTTCTTATGCAATACAGCTTCAGCACCTTCAGGCTTGGGAATGTCTCCCGACAGAAAATGAAACTGACCTCTTCACCAATGAACGAGTCATACAATAGACGTAGGGTGGCCAGCTTTGGTAGATTACCAAGGACTTGCATGGCCGCATCATGCTCCGATATACTCGACCACTCTAGCTTCAGCTTCACAAGATTTTTGAGGCCCTGGATCCACTCCGGCAGCTCAACCAGGGTGCCTCTCAACTTGAGGCTCTGCAGGTTTTCTGGAGGTGAGGACAACCCATCCAAGCAGCCTGATAAACCTGTCTCTCCTTCTGAGTGCAGTGACAATGACTCCAGGCTGCTGAGACGAGCAATTGCTGAACACAACTCTTGACTGTTTCTCTTGTTTATGCCTGTCACTCCTAACTTGCGCAATCGGGTGAGTTTTTTTATATCTTCTAGAACAGCCTTTCCCACTGAGACATCCACAGTACGCAGTGTGTCCAGGGCCATCAATTTCCAAACCCCTCTCGGAACTTCTACACCACCTGGATTTCGTCCTCCTGCCACATAATAAGGTAACATGCTGCAATAGAACGCAGTGCACACATCACGCCTGTTAAATTGTGCAACATCATCAATACCAAGAAGCTTCTTTCCCAGCCCAGGTGCACAACATGCCACACAACAACCCGCTGAATATAAAGGCAACCTTATTAGTGGCCACCTAAGTTCATCATAATAACCATTTTTCATGTCACCAGCAAGAATGCGTTGCATCTTCACAAGCTTCATCATGGTCCTTGGTAGCTTCGTTATGCTTGTACCTGAAATATCTAGTGTCTGGAGTTGCCTCAGGTTCCCCAACGAATTTGGCAGGTGAAATATAGCATACTGTCCCTTTAGAGAAAGATATCTAAGATGAACAAGCTTCCCAATGTGTGCAAGATGATGATCAACTAGATCCCAGTCGCCTTCCAAATCCAGCACTCGTAGCAACCTCATCTTGTCAGAAATGTAAAATGGCCTCCAATTTCCAAACACTGTCAGTGATCGTACACAGGACAAGTCTACCATATTCTCAAACTCACACTGATCCCCCTTCCAGTTGCTGCTTACAGCAAGATGGCGCACCGTGCCTTGATTGTTTAAGCCGCACCCTTCCTCCAATGTGAAAACAAGATTTTCCTCCATAGACTTTGAGATGGCAATTTCACGAATCAGATCATGGACATGGCATGAGTCGATTCCTTTCCTACTATACATTGATCGTTGAGATGGCAGGATCATGCTCCTGCTTATGAGTTCCATGAAGTAACCGTCCAATATTTCCTCCAGAGACTTGCCACGCACCTCACTTGAGTAACCTTCTGCAAGCCACCGACGCACTAAGCGTCTCCGTGCAATTTTTTGGTCTTCAGGAAAGATGGCCAGATACAAGAAACAAGCCTTGAGGTAATAGGGTAATCCATCATAGCTTTTCATAAGGATTGCTTTTATGGTCTCAAGTTCTGGATTCATCTCCAACTCAGCACTGATATGCTCATTCAATTTTCTCCATTCAAAAGCAGTTTTTGGTTGGTTTGCCAGGAAGCCACCTATGGTGACTAGTGCAAGGGGAAGCCCTCTGCACTTCTTCAATATCAGTTTTGCTGGTTCAACCAACTCTGGATATCGCTCATCCAAACTTACGGTCTCCTTAAATACCTGAAATCCATATCAATCAAGTCATTTAGTACAACAAGAAAGAAAGCATATACGCACCGTTGTCTCACACAATTTTTATATTGGAATATGTACTACAAAGATGTAAAAGTGAGACAATGCTACTTTTTGTTGGATAATAAGTTTTTCCATCATCCATTTTTTTATTTAGTATATCTTCATTTCTGTTCCTAGAAAGATTTTCCTCCCACCTAGCAACATACCCATAGTGTGATAATCCAACGTCTCGCTCATTCCTACCTGCATTGCACGCAAAAATGCCAAGCAAAACAATGACCTTTCCCATCATGCTACTTCTACAGCTACACCTCGCCCCAGTGCTAATTGTATTCTTGCTACTAATTTCATTGGACATCAATTACCTCACATAGCTACAGAGGTAGGCATTAACTTGATATGATTGGGCCTCTTAGTTAATGGTGCATATTTGTCATAATCATAACACCTGAATGTGGTTACTACATGAGCAGCTCTTTTACGGTGCTCCTAGTAGAAAATAATATGGTTCCTCAATCTTAACACCTTAATGACTCATCCAGCGGAGTTTTTTTATGCATGTGCACAGAATAATTGTGGAGGCATTCAAGGAGAGCACCATAACAATAAAAATACCCAATAAAGGGTGAACTATTGGATTTGTTAGAAAACAATCTGGTCCATGCATTGCTCCCAGTTTAATGCGGGCGACTCAGGTCGGACTCGCTCCACTAGGTTTAGGGCTGCATTGTACACCTCTCGCCCACCTGCTGTCGCATTGTGTTCTCCATGATGGACACCGAGTCTCCCTCGTCCTCCCTTTGCCGGTGGACACAGCAGCAGACTTGATTTTGTTGGACACAGCGGAAGGAACAATACAACAAGCAGGTTGCAGGCACACAAGCACCAGCTATTTCCAAACTCCTCCAGCAGCAAGCTGTGGAGGTATACACATGGAGTCTGCCGCATCTGGCTCCTCCTATTTCACACGTCTCACCCATGCCTCTCCCTCACCTGCTATTCAATAAAGGAGAAAGATGACAAGGCTACAGAGGGAGAAGCTAACACTCCTGCCCGTGGATCTGGATCATTTTGGATCTGGTAAAACAGGGAGGGGTGTGGCAGGGCATTGGGTACCGAGGCAACGGCCCTAGCTGGTGAGCTTGTGGCGCATTCAGCAGGGCGTGCTGCAGTGGTGATGCCGGTCGCTCTAGCCTTGAGGGTGGTGGGGCGGGTGTGAGGCTTTGGCTCAAAACGGCGATCCAGCTGTGAGTTCTTTGTGTTGGGGCAAACCCTCCGGCGACACATGCCGAGAAGCCCTCCGGTGACACGAACACCGGACGGAAGAGACGAACTCGAGACAAGAGTATTTGCGGCGACATACGCCTCGGTGACGAACACCTCACCGCGCACACGGCATTTTTTTTTCTTTCAGCTCAAATTGGAAAACATACACTGAGACCGCCATATGGTGAGCGCACATACGCTCCCAGAGACTACATCTCTCCCTGGCTCTGACGCTGCACTCGACTCGCTGAAACAAAGCAGTTTACAATGGCTTAAATAGCCAGACCCAACACACACCCACGCACCCAGTCATGTAGCTAACAACCTTATCCACATTGACTTATCCTATACAAATCTGGAAGAACTGAGTGACTTGATTTAAAGAGGACTGAGCCAAAGACAAAGCCTGTGAGTGGCTAAAGATTCTTATGAGCAAATTGAATATTCTGCCATGAATACTGAAGCATGTGTTTAATTGCAGTATATCTGGGTGGATAAAAATGCTAAAAAAATAAATCCACAAGAAAAAGGTGGCCATGCAATAACTTTAATAACGAGCAAAAAAAAGCCTATACCCACCCCTTTGTATCTTGTAAAAATAGGCTGAACCTTTATTTTCTAGTGGATATCCTACTTCACTTTGACAAGTACAAAAACCACAAATTATTTGGTTGGACCTAACTATAACAACACGTATTATGATGTCTCCACCTTATTGTAATCATAGTTTATGTATTCTGTAGCCCTTTGTATTTATATGTATTATTCTAGCTATTGCGCGAGATTTCTACCAAATGGCAATTCGAATTTTCTAGTGGACAAAGGCCTAGCAAGTTGAATTTATAATTCTGTTATATGTACTCACAAAGATATTGTTTGTGAAGTTTAAAGTAGTAAGAGAAATAACAAGGAGAGGATTAACAGAACAACTAATTGAGCATGACACTACTTCATTTTTACCTTTTTGGTGAAGAGGGTACGTGCGTCATCAGGGCCCAGATGGTTCAGCTTGTATATGTTTATTCCATCCTTTGAGCAGTGCTTGGCAATATTCTCTTCCCTTGTGGTGACTATTATGCAGCTTGCTGCCGTTTCTGGCAAATATTTTTTTATAGCATCCCACTCTCCTATGGACCACAAATCATCAAGAACAAGCAAATATCTCTTCCCTTCCAAACATCTCGTTAAATCTGTCTCATTTCTATCTCTAAATTGCATAGTTAAGCTCTCAAGGAGTGTTGCTGAATTGAATGGACGCATGACTGTGACACAAGCACGCTTATCAAACATGCTACTAATCTCTTGGCTTTGAAAGATATCCCTCGCTAGTGTTGTTTTTCCAATACCACCCATTCCCCACAAGGAGAACACATGAAATTGCTGGCGATCTTTATTTGAGATTAGTTTGATGATTTCCTCTTTTTCATTCCCTCTCCCGATGAGGCGAGATTCCTCTAGAGTAGCCATTGTCTCCATACGAGCGAGGATGTTCTTGTGTGCAGAGCTGTTAACAACGCTAGGGGCTACATATGAGGTGGACCCTTTTTCCTCCGAATTCCTTTCCTCCTGAGAAACCTAAACACAAGCACACGATTAATGCTTAGGTGTTGCCTTCATTTCCACAAGATAATATTTTGTCCTCTTTTAAGTTTTCTTATATAATACTCTTGTTTTTAGGACAGGCTTAATTGGGAAACAGAAGTCTTTTGGCCCCCTCAAAAATTTATGTTTTGTCTTTGGCCCCTCGAGGTATTCCTGTGAAGCTCCGCCACTATCTATATACATGTAGGGAAGTTGTTGGATATGATGTAGGGACAATACTTCAACATGCAAAATATCAAACAAATATTATGATATGAAAGAGTTTACAAGTAAAATATGTACTTGGATTTTCCATCATTGATTACCTCAAACACTATTAAGAGTTCAAAGTGGTTGGAACCTTTCCAAAATTCATGAAACAAACTGGAGGAGCATTATGATGATACTATATAATGATCCCTTGGCTCGTTCAAAAACATTTGACCATTCATAAGTTGTCAGTCACAATATATGTCAGAAATCTCTTTTTCTTTTGGTATAAGCCAACCAGGGGATAATCATATATTATCATCATCGCCCTAGTGTCAGTCTCTCCATAGCTCTAGCCACCAACAATGGTGCCAATGGTCGCCTCTTATGGCGGTTCTAATTTGGGTTTGGCTCCATAGTTGCTTTGCTTTCATTGGTGTCAAAGATGGAGAGGATATAATTCATTGGTGGTTGCTGACCAGTCGCCACTAGATAAGTATATAGGAAGCCAAATAACTCCATGTGAGAGTCGAGGACCTAAGCTAGAAAACCAATGGAGTATGAAGTATATTTTAACCACTGGAATTACTTGCATCGTCAAGATTGGATCTAAGTCAAACACAGACGACATGCAATCAGATGATTGGGGAATGGAGGGGGAGGTGTAGAAACACCAGAATGAGTCATCTCAGTAGTAGCATAAGTAAAATGTACATAAATCCTACAGATTCTTTCTCATGAAAAAGGGGAAAATATACTATTATTTTTAATTAAATCATGTAGAATGGCTATTTTCCTAAAAAATTCAGGACAACACAAGTCCAAGCTAGTTGATTGTTAACTACTCCCTCCGTTTCTAAATATAAGTCTTTTTAGAGATTCCAATACGGACTACATACGGATGTATATAGACATATTTGAGAGTGTAGATTCACTCATTTTGCTCCGTATGTAGTCTTTATTGGAATCTCTAAAAAAGACTTAAATTTAGGAACAGAGGGAGTATTAGTTGAGGCACTAAACAAACTTAACAAGAGGAGCATTGATTAGGCAATTTGAGGACTTCAAAATTTACCTTCTTGTAGAAAGCATAAAGAGATTGATCAGCAAATAACTTCTTATGCACTAGAGCTTCATCATCTGCTCCTATGCACAAGCTTGCAACTTCAACTTGCTCAGTGGATACTATGATTCGACTTCCTTTCTTGTTGTCAGGAAAACATGATTTAATGCAATCCCACTCTTCAATGGTGCGTATGCCATTGAGTACAATTAGGTAACTCTTGAAATTCAAATATCTCTCGAACTCATGAGCCAAACCATCTTTGTTTACCGTCGCCATCATCTTCAAAACTTGGCCCCCAATAGCTGATTTTCCTTCTTCTCCTGTCTCTTGAAGAGAATTAACATAGATTTGCCTAACAATGCTTTGAATGAAATCCGTCTGATTGAAAGGGTACACCAATGTGATCCAAGCACAACAATCAAAATTCTTGTGTATCATGGGATCTTCATAGGCACTTTTGATGATGGACGTCTCCCCCAGATCACTACTACTTGTGCCCCAGAACGCTATCACTCGAAGTGCATCATCATTGCAATTGATCAACTTGACGAGATCCATTTTAGCTTTCTGACGCTTCAGCCTTGCATCATCGGCAGCAGACATCGTCGCACCGGAGATGGTAGACTGCCCAACAGCAGAGGTAGGCTTGGAGCTAGAGCCCTTGATGAGGTGATACCGTTGGTTCCTCTGGCTGACCTCCTCCACCTTGGCTCTGAGCTCCTTCATCTGCTCCGCTACATAACGCCGGGCTAGCACCTTGCGAGAGAGGCACCACCAGGATTGATTCTCAAGACGTACAACGAAGTCCATGAGGCAGTCCTCGACAGCATAGGACACATCGCGGACTTGCTTCACCCAGATCTTCACCACCATGTTGTCATCCCGCTCATCATGTGCGGCCATCAGGAAACCCCGCATCATCTCGAGCTCGTCCGAGATGAAGGAGTGGTCACGTTGGACTCCAAGCTGCAGAGCAACCTCCTCGGCCACGGCAGACTGGGCGTAGTTGAGCGCCCCGCTCAACACGGACTTGCCGATGCTGATGGCCGTCGCCTCCATTTACTGAATGTTTGTTTGTGTGCGTCAATAGGTTGTGTACTGCAAACCGATGATGCTGGGTGTAAGCGTCTGTGCTTGAGCTAAATCTGAAGAGGTAAAGAACAATAGAGGAAACAGAGCAGCATACCTGGTGTTGCCGACGCCACGGCGGCGAGCAAGATGAAGGCTGTAGCGATGAAATCCAAGACGGTGAACACAGCCTCAACACCAGCGTTGTCCCTCCAAAACAAGCAAACCAGCTGAGAGATCTGCCGGCCGAATCAGAGAGATGATTGCCGTCGCCTCCATTTACTGGATGTTTGTGTGGATGGATCGATTGGTTGGGACTGATGGAGGCTGTACTGCAAGCAAGATCAATTCGGTCAATCGACGCTAATGGCTGCGCTTGAGCTGAATCTGAAGAGGTAAATAACAAGAGAGGGAAACAGAGCAGCATACCTGATGTGTCAGACGCCACGGCCGTGAGCAAGACAAAGGCTGTGGCGGTGAAATCCAGGACGGTGAGCACAGCCTCAGCACCAGCGTTGTCCCTCGAAAACGACCAGACTTGAGAGATCTGCCGGCCGAATTAGAGAGATGATTTGCAAGTCACAAACAATGAAAGATCCACCACTAAGCAGAGCAGACTAAGAAAGACAAAAGAGAAAAACTTACCTGACCAGGACGAAGGGTTCCGAGGCTGCGTCAGGTGGGGGAATGAAGCGCGGTGGAGAAAGGATTGGAGATAAAGCCGGGGCCGGGCCATGGAGTCAGATTCCTTTCTTCTTGCCGCAGCCTCCGTACGTCCTCCAAAGAATAAAGAAGCTTCTTTTCTTTTCTTGTTGGCGCAGCAGCACTGCAGCATACGCATCTTCATGGTGGCTTTGCCTGCCTTAGCAATTGGGTAAAGAGAGATAGGATTCTTTGGGTCTAGTTTGGGGGAGGGATTGGATTCGACAATGGCGGAGGAGGCGTGGAGCAGCAGCAAGAATCGCCGGCGGCGGAGGCAAGGGGAAGGGTAGGGTGTAGTATTTTTTTTTTAGAAGAAGTAGGGTGTAGTAGTACGGTCCATTGGTTTCGATCTGCAAAATGGGCATGGGTCCTTATTGGGGTGGTATTGTAAAATGGGCTCGCCCTTCTAAATTGTGCACTTCTTCGTGTTCTTTATTGTTTGGTGCATGGCTGTGGTGTCTTTACACTTTTCGACCTCGTTGTCACTCAGTGGTAGTCGTTTGAGCATCGTTGGAGTTCCTATTCCACGATGAAACCGTGGAATTGTTGTTATAATGCTCACATGGGCCGGCCAACGAAGTCTCGCTCGCTTAGCTTTTTTTCTGCTCGTGCCACTATTAGCTTAGATAAATCGGCTATCCTTTTGAAATTTGAAAAAGTTAATTTAATTAAAAGATGTTCAAGGATTGTTTTTTAATCAAATGGTAAAAAACACAGATTTTAGAAAATGATCATGAATTTAAAATATACTCATGGATTTAGAAAGTCCACAAGTTAAATATGTTTTTCAAATTTTCAAAATGTTACAAAACTTTAATAATGATTGTGAAATATCCAAAAATGTAATCAATATTATTGAGTCTACAAATAAGAATTGTAAATATTAAAATGTGTAAAAAAAATTAAAATGAGAAGGAGAAATAAGACTAAGCACCACACAACCTTACATGTACGACCCTCAGCGATCCCACAACCCTCGAAGAACCAGAACGCCTAAATTACGGGAGCTTACAAATTTTGAAAATGATCACAAACTTTAAAAATGATCATGAAATATCCACAAATTTAATAAATGTTAATGAATCTAAAAATGTGAATTGTAATTATTATTCTTCTTTTTAATGTTCACAAATTTTAACAAGCGTTCATGAATTAAAATGTGTAAAGAAATAAAAACAAGAAGGAGAACTAAAACTAAACGGGACACACCTTACCGCTAGGGCCCTCAGCGGTCTCACAACCCTCGAAGCAAAACCGCTTTAAATCATGGGAGCTTATTATCTCTACTATAGATTATTTTGTGATGCTAGCGCTTAGCGGCATTAACAAGGTTACGGTACAATCAGACTTAAGGATCACCGGTAAACCTGTCCATCGGAGCAGTAAAGCCAGTCCTTCCCGGATCTAATGGTTTCCATATGTTTAGAAGAAGACTCATTTGTAGTAACAAATAGTAGCGAACCAATGGCGAAGTCCGAGTTATGCAGGAGACCAGTAGCACTGTCATAGATTCCCCTTGAAAAGGATTGGAATTCTATACATCCAAGCAAGGGGATATCTCTTGTGTCTTGTATAATTGGATGGATGTTCTGATGATGAACAAAAGAAAATTGAAGAGATATGACACACACCATCTGCCTCTGGTTGAGAATTGCAAGTAGGTTGATCCTGTTTAATTTAGGCCAACTCTAATCGCCCCCCTATTCAATTTTACTCTTCTAACAGGGACCTAATTGATCCACTAAACCGAATTGAGGAGGATAATTTATCCTCAGCCTCATATCCGGCGCCTATATTTACTCCGCCGCTACCGCTTGAAAGAAAAAAGTCCCTTCCCCCGCTGCCTTACCCACCCCACTCTTGCACCGTATCTACGCCGGCATGCCGGCGTCATCCTTCCCGACCCCCGTCGACCACCACCCGCCACAGCAGACACTCCGTAGGCCCCACCGTGGTCCTCGCCCACCCGGATTTGAGCCTCTCTCGCCGTCGTCGGTGTATAAATCGGTAGATCTACGGTTGCGGCCGCCACCGCCAGATTTGGCGCATCCGGCCACCGGTGATGGCGCCTTTGTCATCGATTGGCCGATTTCCCGAACCGCATAGCCCCAACTACGAGTCCGTGTCGCATGCAGGTATGGCCATCTCCTCTAGCCGCTCGAATCTCAGTCGTCGTCGACTCGCCGGCAAAGACATGCCCGGCCGTCGGCCGGGCTCGGCACTGCCCCGACCGGCAGCTAGCCAGCATTGCTGGTCATGAAGTGTGACGACTGCCCACGACAGATGGTGCGCCGAGTTTCGACCACGCCGGAACATCCCGGATGGATGTTCTTCAAGTGCAAAAAAGATGAGGTTAGTGCTTGTTTTGATGCGGCTATTCACCTGATTCGGCACAATTTTTAGCTCATTGTTTGCTCAAATTTGCATTCGGGATGGATGTTCTTCAAGTGCAAAAAAGATGAGGTTAGTGCTTGTTTTGATGCGGCTATTCACCTGATTCGGCACAATTTTTAGCTCATTGTTTGCTCAAATTTGCATCCGAGATGGATGTTCTTTAAGTGCAAAAAAGATGAGGTTAGTGCTTGTTTTGATGCAGCTATTCACCTGATTCGGCACAATTTTTAGCTCATTGTTTGCTCAAATTTGTATATATGATGCATGCAAGTTTTGGTGTTGCGAAGAAGAATACATCGATTTATTGATCTCGAGAAATTTGTTAGATGTTCGTGCACTCCTTGCTAGAGTAGAGACTAGAGATGAGACTAGATGCAACGCAATGTCAAATTCATCGAAACCGAAGAAGAAAGAAGTGTGCAAGCTCCTTGCAAGTTCTCGTAGCGAAGAATTGGTGAATTATGTACTCTGATGTATCAAAATGCCATTCAATGAAATAAAGAAGGAATGAAATTTGTTTCAGTGGCCGAAAATGAAATGCAAATGACAAAAAGAAACATTTACTCTGTTATATTTAAGGGATCGGCTAGGTCCGGCTAAAACTAAGTAGAGTAAATATTCTTCACTAAGTTTACACCGTCGTTTTACTCCTCTCGTTTTAGGGGATTGGCTAGACTTGGCCTTAGGTCGCAACTGACGGCATTATATATACATTTTTTTCTCCCAGAACATTGTTCAAGCATATAATACACTGGTGGTAAATTAAATCTGAGACCAGCAAGTCCAATAAAGCACACAAGCACACAAGCTAGACTCCATGCGCGGAAATAGTCCCGCGAACAAGCCACACACAGTAACACCAGAAAACACTCAGAATATAGTGATCGATGGGCCTCCGTATAATCGAACCAAATCGAATCTCCTGCTGCTGCTGCTGCTTGGTCGTAGCTCCCCATAGTGATGGCGTGACATAATGACATCTTGCTAATCTCCGCGGATGATATTTCTCCATGTCTTGGGCTTCAGAAGACTAGGCTCTGTTCATAACTGACGTCACAGAAAATTTGTAAGTACATTAATGCAGCATCAAAGTTTACAATGGAAAAGCATGACCTGAAGAAACCAAGAAGAATATACGTAAACTCCAATGTTGGTCGTGGTTCTACCATGTCGTTACCATTATCTTTTGTGTGTGCCATTACAATTATCAGTGAATACTTGATTAAACATACTCTCTAGTATAGTGTACATTAACACACCCAAACAAATAAATAAATCGAGAGCCTCCTCATTTAATTACGTATCTACCTGACTAGAATAGTCGATCCAGCTCCAGTAGTAGTATATCTGGAAGGATGTCTGAATTTGTTGCTGAAACGTGACAAACTAATAGACAAGGAAACTGACGCATGTGTACATACCTTGATAGCGGGCATCTAGATCTTTCTCCTCAAGGCTGCTTAGCCGTTGCTGCAGGCCTGCAGGGAGACTCTTTATACCAGGACATTTTCTAATTAAAAGCTCTTGAAGAGATGGGTATGCTTGTGGCCCATCCGGTAGGGATGACAGGGATTTGCAATTCGAGATGGATAGGCGCCCCAGTGATGGGAACTCTCCCGAGTGGGATTCCACTGATCTCAACTCACAGCACCGAGAAACTATTATTTTCTCGAGGGATGGGGGAAGATGGAGGACCCCTGTTAAGCTGTCACACCCTCCTATGACTATCTCTTCTAAACATGGGAAGGGAAACTGTTCCACCCTGGCTACGGCTGATGATGATGACACCTCTGAATGTACAGGTGACCCTTGAAGAACCGATGATGCTGACTCTCCCTGATGCAGACTCCCGCTGAATATGGACAGTTCCGATACTGTTGATGGTTCAGCCGCAG